GGTCTTTAGAACCATGTTCTATCTTATGCTATTGCTTTTTATGACAAAAGACACAAGAAGACAGAGATGAAGGAAAAATAAAGACTACTCCTGGGAGCAAAAAGGATCAGACAATATGAATATTCATACCAAAAAGTACACTCGAGTCACCACACACAAGACTGGTTCTACAGATGCTTTTCTCCTATTTATATTAAATTTTGGAAAATATAAAGAAAGAAATAATAATTGTTACTGCTCACTAGGCTGGATTTCATAGACAAATGTCTCGTAATCTCACTGGTAAAAAAATTCTTTCCCGCGTGGTGCCTGTGGCTCAAAGGAGTAGGGCGCGATCCCCGTATACTGAAGGTGGTGTGTTCAAACCCAGCCCCGGCCAAAAACTGCAAAAAAAAAAAAAAAAAAAATTCTTTCCCTTTTTGGTGGCTTGCCAGGTTCTGAATTCCCTTGAGAGTGGCTTTCTGAAGAGCACATCAGTTTGTCCTGCTCATTTTGCCAAATCTTTAGTGGCAAAGGGAGAAAACTTCCCCTTCACCCTGTAAATGTTCATTGAAAATGAATTGGCAATGGACAGAGTTAATAGGAGAAAAAAAGCATGCAAATAATTGTAAAGGGCTTGGGGAAAAATCATAGCAGAATAATTATCCAGTTATCCAATGGGGTACAGAGACTTATATATCCTTTTACATAGGGAAGGGGCTTTGGAGACGTAGAGAATTTTTTGAGGATAGTAAATGATTACTAGGGAGAATTAAGTGGACCCAGGAGATAGAAATTAACTTGTAAGTGATGCTCTTTGGAATTTGAATGAGCCCAAGAGGCAGATGTTATCTGTTGAAAAAGTCTTTCCAAATGTGGCTGTACTTTTAGATCTTCTTTTCTCTAATTTTGTTGTCTTTGGTGGGTCCAGTCTTAAGGTAGATAAGTAAATATCAAATAATAGTCTCTTATAGTATCTGCTGAATTTTCAAGAACCTTTAATTTAAAATAATTAGCATAGGAGAGTATCATACCTTGGGCTACTTCATCTTTTTCTGTTCTCTTCTGTGATTGCAGGTGGTTTTTATGTACCTTTCTATTGGGTTATTAGGAATTCTTGATTATTTAGACAGGTTCAAAATGTCCAAGGACATTTAATTTCCTATTCATCACCTCTGTCTGGTTTGTGTGTGTTTAAATTTACAAAGATCCCAAACCTATGCTCTTACCACTTTCACTATTTTTTCAGAATCCTACTTGATCCTCTCTTTATTATGGTTATTGATGGTTATATATGGTTATTGATGCCACCTTAAACTAGAAAAAAACCTAGTATCCTGTTGGACCACATTTATAAAATCATCAAAAGATATATGCACCCTGTCCTAATCACCTATTTTGATGAAGTTGCTTTGGCTCCTAATTTGGGTATGACTCATTTTGTCAGGTTTAGCAATCTTGTTCTTTGTTATTGGTGTAGTCTTGGCAGAAGAACGACCATAGTCATTAAAAGCAAGGCAGATGTGAAACAGAGTTTATTGAGGTAGGATAAGATAGGTTTACAAAGCAAGAGCAAGATATATTCACCAGAGACAATGAATGGGCCCTTTGGGTAACAAAAAAGCCTTAGTCTCATTTTCTAGTGTCAGGATTGGACCCTCCTTATGGTTCAGATGTCATCACAGAACCACGTTGATGGACAGTTGGGAGTTATATGAACTCAATCTTACTGTGCAGCTGAACCTCCCACGAGGTTCTCTCTGAAAGCCTATTTGGGGGTGAACCACAATGCAGATTTAAGCTAATGACATGACAGTTAGCTGTAAGGTTGTTCTAGATCACCTTCTAGATCTCATTTTATCTGTGCTGTTTGACCAGTGGCGAGGGAGTCCTCTGCATTCTTTTGGAGTTGCACTGCAGGACCTTGTCTCCTTCAGCTATGGGCAATCGCTTGGGGCAGGATCAATATGGGGCATTACCAAGTCGGGGCACCCACCCTTTGTCTCTCAGGAGAGCCAGTGGTTCTATCTACCTAACAATTGATACTTATCCATACACACAGAAGTACATGGACTATCACAGACACATTCACATTGTTAAAAAAAAATAAAATGAGTCACATTAAAATATTAAATAGTTTATATGAGCAAGCAACAGGTCATAAAACAGCAGCTTCAGGTCACAAGTGTTTGGGGACTTCACTAATGGGGCAGAGGGGAAGATTTTTATAAGGTGAAAACAGAAGCAAGATAAAGAAAACATTTTATTAGTTAATGTTGAGTAGCAGTCTTATTTGTATAATTCCAGTTGAAAGTTCCTATTAGAGGTTAATTGGCAGTTTTGATTGGTTAGGCTTAAGTTTCGTTTTACATGGAGTTGGGTTTCAGTTTGCTTACATGGGAATCCACAGCCTAATGGCCTCCCGAGTAGTTATTTTACAATATAAAGTTCTCCCAAGTAATTATTTGAACAACTTAAAGTCACACATACATACAACCATTCACACACACACACACACATACACATGTATGTACGTATACCTGCATTCAGATATGCACACACACATGCTGACTCACACATGCTGTACACACACATGTGTACAAATGGTCATTGCATATAAAATATTATAAATATTTGTGTTTCAGTGCAATCTTTGTCCTATGTATAATCATATAATCATAAATTAAGTACATGTCTTTCAGTACAATATTTGTCCTTCACTGCCTTCAAAAGTCCATACAAAGAGATGATTTATATAATTATTGTACAGGCATATATTTATAGAATGAATGCAAGAATGAGTAATTTACATTTCTAAAGAGCTAATGATGTCACTACAATCTACCTGACATATGAGATGGACAAATCCAAACAGAAAATTAAAAAAAAAAATCACTTTCTATATTATAGCCCAATTCATCATCTAACAATTTAGAATCTTTAGATAATCAAATCTTTCAACTATTTTCCTTTAAACAAAATCCAATTAAAGAAAAAATGTTATTTTCTAGGATTTTGAATTGAATTTTCATATGGGATATAAAGAGAAATTTAATCAATGATTATGGTTGGGGATTTAAATCCACTATTGTTCATTAATTTGCATGATAAACAAATACCTTTGTGAATTCCACCAGAAAAGGTAATCATATACTGTATTTAAATAGACTTACATCTTTAGTTTAATTTAACTTAAAAAAATTTATACTCTTGTTAAGTCTGTCCTACAGTTCTATTTCATTGATTTAAGGATCTTATAAAAATGCACATAAACTGCCCACATTAGTAATTACCCTAATTTTTAAAAAATGTGGTCACAATTCAGTCATTAAGAAGGGAAGCAAAGTTTCAGTCCATTAGCAGTTGTTTATAATAGCACATCTCAATTGATTAAACTGTAGATTTTTTTAATAGGTCTTGTTTTATAAATTGAGCCTAGTCAAGTAAACATAACATTTGGTAATAGTCTTCATAGCAACTGTCAAAATGACTTATTGTTTTTCCAGTCCTGTATTCCTTCAGAATTAATAATACCTTTGTGCCCTTTATAACACTTATTATTGATGCCATGAAGTTCTCGATATTTAATGAGTAGATGTTTCATTATAGTCCATGATTCTGTTGACAGATAGAAAATTTTTCTAATCTGTTTCTCTTTTCCTCTTGATTGAAGGATTGTAAATATGCAATTAGCAGTTGAAGTATAAGTAAAAGAAGAAAATATCAGCTGTCAAGATTTCTGTTGAGACACAAGATGCTTTAACCTAACAACAACATGACAAAAGACAAATGCATCCTTGCCAATGAAGCTGAAAGTTACAAAATGTTTAAACATCTGACTTGTTTTTTCTTCTTGAAATAATCATAATTATTGTCTTTCATGATATAGAAATTAATGACAAGACACATTCCTTTCTTACAAAGCTAACTATGGCTAAACTCTCACACACATTGTGCTTATGATTTATATAGTTAATGGCTTCCCCCTATGTTTCAAAAAAGAGGAGGTTGCTAGCTTCTAAGAATGAAAGAAAACAGGAAATACACCTATAGGAGTTTGTGTTTAACAGAAGTGATATTGGCATACTTAGAGTATGATGCTAGGAATTCTTGGTCAACACTAGAAATACTTATTAATCCTTCAAGTTTAGTATTTTAATCCCAGAAATGGCAAAAGTGTTATCATATTTTGATATATCAAATTACACTCTTTAATTTTCTATGAATTCTAAGTCTCGTGACTTTCTTTTCTATTTTGTTTTCTTTTTAAGTAATACTTTTATATATTCCAAGGTTTCATTTTTTATTTTAAAAATTTTAAATTTTTTTTAAGTGATGGGATAGAGTTTATTGACAGGGAGAAAGAATGATAAACATAATAAGCAAAAGAGGACAAACATATGAGGGGGGACAGAACTTCCAGCAGCTGAGGGCGAATCCAAGTAGGAAGGCCCCTCCTTTGGATTTTTTAAAGATCATTTTCATTTTGACTCTGTAAAGGTTTGAATTCTTTATTATTATTTCAAAATGTCACAGGGGTATACACCTTTTGGTTACATAATTTGCTTTTGTACATTTTGGGTCAAAGTTATGACTATGCCTTTCATTAGGTGTGAATTAACCCAGCCCCAACTCCTCTCTCCCACCTACTTGATTCCTGTTGAGTTTTACTTCCATATATGCACATAAGTGTTGATCTACTGGTTCTAAGTTAGTACTGAGAACATGGGGTGTTTGTTTTTCATTCTTGAGATAGTTCACTTAGAAGAATGGTCTCCAGATCCATCCAGTAGTTACAAAAGATACTAGGTCACCATTTCTTTCAACAGCTGAGTGGTACTGCCTGGTATACATATGCCACATTTTATCAATACACAGGAGTATTGATGGCCATTTGGGTTGTTTCCACATCACTGCAATTGTGAATTATGCTGCTATAAACATTCGAGTGCAAGTGTCCTTATGATAAAATTAGCTTTTTTCCATAGGGTAAATCCCTAGTAGTGGAATTGCTGGATCAAGGAAATACGGAACACTTCATGGGTTTGAATGTCATCCTTGCACAGAGTCTATGCAAATCTTCTGTTTCATTCCACTTTTAGTGTATGTGCTGCCAAACTGAGCACAGTCTGAGCACATGATTTTCAATAGGCATCAACCTTTTATTTTATCAACCCTTTATTTATGCATACAGTTTTTCTTTTTTTAAATTAAATCATAGCTGTGTACATTAATGCAATTATGGGGCACAGGGCACAATGCGCTGGTTTTATATACATTTTGAAATACTTTCATCAAACTGGTTAACATATCCTTCACTTCATGTTCTTAGTTATTGTGTTAAGACATTTATATTCTACCCTTAGCAAATTTAATATGTACCCTTGCAAGATGTGGTCCTACCAATTCCCCTCCCTCCACCCATCCTTTCCCCTTCATTGTGGGCTGTAGTTGGGTTATAGCTTTCACATGGAAGTGTGGGTGTTTATAAATTGGTTTCATATTAGGGTTGAGTACATTGGATACTTTTTCTTCCATTCTTAAAATACTTGGCTAAGAAGCATACTTTTTTTTAATAGATGTCTAGATCTAAAACCATTTGTATCACCTCAGAGTAATAAGTATATTCTCTGTTCATGAAGAAAAACCTATCAGATATTTTAAAATGTCAAAAAATATAATAACAATTTGACAATGAGAATTTCAAATAACTCTAATT